CAAAGTCAGAATTGGCCGTTGTAACTCAGGGTCATCATATGTTAAGAATGTATCCTGAACCTTCAATCTCAAAAGCGAAAATCAAATAAAATTAGTGAACGTTAATATTCAGATAGAAAGGCATCGGAATTCCCAAGGTAAGGTGTTACAGTTTGAAACAGTGACAAAGACCACAAGAGGGGACAGGGAATAGGTATGAGAAAATGAAATCTTAAGAATTTAGTTTTTCTGTGTGTATATTTGTTTTTGTTTTCCCCAGAGAGAAATGGGCACGAGGAAGGGGCCAGATGAGACAGCTCAGGGCACAAGGTCGTGCCTGGAATACCTAATAAAAAACCGCAATGAAAGAGAGCTGCCCACAGGAAGGCTTACGGTTTGTTATCTTTAGAGCCTAAGACAGGGCAAGGAGGAGTCAGAAGACAAATGACACTGGAAAGCGGAGAGGAGGGAGGCGCCAACGCCTCGGAGAACCCAACAGTTGGCCATAGGGTCTCCACTGGGGGCAGGGTCCCCCAGAAAACCCTGCCATTTGGGAGTTAGAGACGCTAATTCCCGACCTTCTCGACTCCCCTCGCCTCAAGCCGACCCCTCACCGAAAGAGAAGGACCCGAGAACTGTACAAATGTGCAGGAGCCACCAACCCAGGAAACGCTCCACCTCTAGCAACGGCCGCCACAAAAGCAGCCTCACGCAGACGTTCCAAACTCGACGTCGCAGCCTCAGCTCCGCGGCCACGCGGCCACCGTAGTAAAAAGAACAGCCTCTGCCGCGAGCCTGCAGATCAGCCACTTCCGGGGCAAAGCATGGCGAAGAGCGCCGAGGAGCACTGACCTGTGCTCAGGTGGCCTCCTACGTCCCGACTTCCTACCGGTTTGCCTCCCGAGGCAACCGCTGATCTATCGTGCCACGAGGGCAAAGCCCAGAGAAGGCTTCTTAAGCAGTGTCTCTCTGATGGACTAAACCTTGCTACAGCTGTCAAAAATGTTGAACAAGTGGACTTCAACTACCAGCATGCCATGCAACACCACGCTTGCTTTCGGCTCAAGAACTACAAGACCCAGTATGCACGGCGCCCTTCATTCTCACTGTCAGACAGTTTAGACC